GCTAAAATGCCTTCCTAATTTCTCTGGGGGATCTTGGTCTAGTACCTAACAATCCTTTGAAGTGTCAAGCATGTTCACCTGAAAAGAAAGATTTCATTCTTCACACAGCCAGAAACTGGAGACCATGGAGAAAAGTAAATGAAACCAAGATGGAGGTCTGCAGAGGAGAGAGGGTCCTCCCTCCAGCAGCTGCTCAAGCGTCTCCCTCCAGACAGCAGTGGGCTGGGTCATGAGCAGCCAGAGAAGCAAGAAAGAACTCACACACGGAGAACCATCGTCATGCACAGGGAACAACTCACAAAACTGGCCCCAGTGATGGCTGGGGGCCAAGCAAATTAGGGGAGCGGAACTTTAAGCCCAGGGGGCCTGGCTGGGGAGCCCTTTCCCGGCAATCGTGTGGTAAAGAACCAGAAAAGCTGAGATAGACAAAGAGAAGGGCGATAGCTCAGAGGAAAGTCCAAGAAAAAAAGACAGTTAATCTGTCTGATAGTAACAGAGATACATGTCAAGGCAAACACAGCCTCCCTTCTGTGAGGCCTGGAGACTACCAAGGAGACCCACATAACATGCATACATATAGGTCATCACCCCACCCACCCTAGCCCACACCCAACAGACTGCCCAGGTACCACAACATTGCCCCCTGAACTCCCTCCAAGGTTTTGTGTTCTGGACTTCCTGGGGTTCCTCACCAAAAAGTAGGTATGGGCAGAACTACACCATGCCCACCGGCTTCCCTCCCTTTCCATCTTGAGCTTTGGTCCATGTCAGCTGACAAAGACAGTCCTCAATGGGCCTTCTCTGTCCCTACTGGACAGTGAGGTTCTCATTTCACTTTCTACATACCACAACGTGGCTGTTTATTATGGGAGATGAGGTAATGTCTCCCTCAGGGACGAGCAGGCTATAGAGCCCTTGCTGGAAAAGCAGTGGCCCCCAGCTCTGGTTCCCCAGCTGGGGCACATACCCTGTGGTACCAAAACATCTACTGGGCCCATCATGAACTCTGGAAGGAGCACGGATCCGAAACCCAGGCTGTTGGCTGCAGGGGGAGCAAAATCTTTTTGTGTCCGACCCAGGAAGCTCACGTCTTGTTTGAATCACATCAAAGTGCATCTCTGGTGGGACATGCAGTGAAGGATTTCAGGTACATACCCGTGTGGGTTCAAACCCCACACATAGCCCCCACAGAGTGCCAACTGCATCAGCATTACGGTGGGTCTCTCGTGCCTGGTCTTCCCTTCAGACAACAGACTTGAGGTAGAGATCCACACGTGACATGGTCTAAGACCCTTGGGCGGGGATTTCTAGATTTTCAGACCCCAGGCATGGTCTATAAGGGCAGGGAGAAGCTCCACTGTGTCCCACTGACCCCTCAGTCTCAGAGACAGCTGTGGGTGGACAAGAGCCAGCACATGGCCCTTTAAAACATGAGGGCCAAGGCCAGGCCTCTGTTCAGGTCTGCTGAGGAGAGAGACAATGTTTCAGAAGTATCCCTCTGGTCCCTGCGAACAAATCTTTCAGCCCCTGCAGGGCTTCCCCGATGGCCTAGGGGTTAAGTCTCAGTGCTACCACGGAGATGGCCTGAGTTCAATCCCCGGCCAGGGAGCTGACCCACATGGCACAGCAGACCTCTCCTGCCTCACCCGCTGCTCCCCTCAGCAGTGTACTTCAATGGATCCACCTGCTGTGCTCTCCTCTCACTCCCCGCACCTCTGGCCTACACCCCAGTTCTTCTATGCAAAAATAAATAATCTTAAAAAATTAAAAAATAAATAAAGTTGACCCTGCACTGGAGAAAGTACCAACAGTGGACAATGTTGGTAGCAAGTGAAATCAGGATAAGCACAAGTATGAAAGTGGTGAGTTCTAGTCCTTGTGTCACCTCAAAATCTCTGGATGGCCTAGCGTCACGGGCCCCAGTTTCCCTGTAAAATGAGGTGATTCACGTGATCTCTGAAATGCACTTCAAGCATTAGCTCCTGAGATTACAGGTCAGGGCGGGAGGGCAAGGCCTTCTCAGGGCAGGAGCCCCCAGGGGCATGGGGCAAGAGGCTTTCATCTCCTTCCGGTCCCGTCCTCCAGCAGCTCCCTGGGCTCAGATACCAGGAGGATCCTGGAAGAAATTAATACTTGAGCAAGGAGTAGATTCCAGTACAAGGCTGTACCAGGAGTCCAGTCCAGTCAAAGGGTCAGATGGGTCATTTTCACCGTCATGGAAAAGTCCCCAGGGGGTGACACCCAGGAGGGGGAAGATGCGAAGAGACACCTAGTGTCTCATTTGCTCACTTCTCTCTCCCACCACATGGTACCCAAGGGCCCCCACCCCACTGTCTTCTCCCACAATAGCAGTCAGGTGGCCTGTGCCCTGCTACCCCCAAAGAGCATTAATACAAGCAGCGCGAGGAGGCGCACCAGCCGTGTGTGCTGCTGGACCCAGGCCCGCACTGTTCACACCGAGTCACTCCCACAGGTCACGGTGAGCAAAGGCTTCCCGCAGTCTCCCCACACCGCATGCCCCAAACGCAAACTCCTCAGGGCCAGCGCCGGGCAGGAGCTTGCCAAGCTGTGCAAGGTGCTCAGTGGCTTCGGCTGGGAGGAGGGGGGGTCCCCCAAGCCAGGGAGCGGAGGAGGGTGCAGCCAGCTTCCGGCTGCCCCTAGGGTGGCTCTCTCTGCCTGTACTTCCTTGACCTCTCAAGTCAAAACACAGACTGCTGGGGTCAGACGAGAGGGCTCCTGGGCTGTGAGAAGATGCCAGTTAATTGTCAGTGGCGACCACCATAGAGATGGTGTCCACAAGGGGCAAGAATTGAAGAGGGAGCAGAAGTGGGGACCAGTCCCCAGGGCCTCTAGGTGGGGACAGTGGACGCTCCTGATAGCCCAGGGTTTGGGGGAAGGGGTGAGGAGTGAGAGGGACGAGAAAACTCCAGCGAGCTTTCCTGTCCTCACAGATGGCCTCATGCAGAACAGCCGCCCGTTAGCGAAGCGAAGCCCACTGCCATGAGGTCATTTTCTTTATGTGTTTTGAAAGGAGGGTCCAGGAAGCTCAACGACTGGGGAAGTGGCCACCGTCGGTGAAGAGAGAAAATCCCCAGCTTTCAGGGAAGAACAGGGGTGCCGGTGCTGAGCCTCTGCTGCCCCCGTGTGGCCTGGGGGAGACATGGCCTGGGGAGTCCCAGACAAAGCTGAACCTGGGCCAGACCTCAACGATTCCTCTTCCCTTTCACCAGTCCATCACCTGGACTTAACTCCACTCGCGAACACGGGCTAGGATGGGCAAGGGAAGGCCTGTCAGCTCAGGACGCTAATGAGATGGGCAGAGACTCCGGCTGGGGGGCCTGGACCCAGAGAGCCGCTCTGGTAGCAGTAAAGGTGGGAGAGTCACAGGAGAGTCACAGTGAGGCCAGAATCCAACTTGGTATCAGGAGCCATCTCCTTTGTCCCTGGTGGTCGGGTGAGACCTCGGGGAGCTGGTGATGTCACCTGCCACCTGTCAGTGAGGCACTCACGGGCACACGTCCCGGAAGTACGTGGGCAGCCTGCAGAACTCACGAAGCCCGCTGTTTCCACCAGGGACTGTTTTAATCTGTGGCTAAATGAACCGGCTGTTTGAACAACAAACCACGGAGAATTCAGGACACAGGAGTCACACTGAAAGTTATTATCGATGACCTGCAAATTGATTTTACCTGATCTCTTAACATTAGCAAAATTGTTGCTAAGCATTCATGTTAAGCCTTAAAATGATTACTATTTTGCTCACCTAAAAGTCAATTTTCTCTGCTTGGATTGTTAGAGCTACGATAATAAAAGGCAACAGAGTCCCCTGAGGAAAAAAAAAAAACACTGATTTTTTCCCCCCAAATCAGTGAGGCTTATTTTATTTTTAAGATTTATTTATTATTTATGCATACAGAATTGGGTACAAGCCAGATGTACAGGGGCAGTGAGAGGTTTCACCAGAGACAGAGTGGGGAGCAGAACAAGCAGATGGACGAAGCACACTGCTGAGGGGAGCAGTAGACAGGTCAGGAGAGGTCTGCGGCGCCATGTGGGTCACCTCCAGGGCTAGGGATCGAACTCACACTGAAGCGGCTGCGGCCAGCTTGCAGTGCTGCGTCCTAACCCATTGTGCTACCAGGGAGGGCCCCAAAACCACTGAATTTTTAAAGTGCAGGTAAATAGCATATACACAAACACATTAGTCGTGTGGTTGAGACTCCCCAGCACCAGTTTGTAACCCTAAACTTTCACACACACACACACCCTTTCTCTTGTACGTGACCCGGGGATAAATCTCAACACGGCTCTAAAACCTGACTTACCCTTCCAAATGCAGCTCTGGTGCTTCCTGTGTGACCTGAGACAAGTCAGCTAACCTTTCTGAGCCTCAGTTACCGCCTCTATATAATGGGGTGGGGACAGGACTACTTCATAGGGTTGTTAAGAGATGAAATAAAATACCTGTTACATGCTGAAAACAGTAAGTGCCTAGTACAGAAAGTATGAAGAGAACTCACTAACTCCCCTGGTGTACAGTTATTTTAAAACATGGATCTGAAATATATTTAATTAGCTCATGAATTTTTTGACCAGCATTTTAAAAAGCAGGCTTGATTTTTTTTCATGAACAAACACCATTTCATACTGTAACTAGCTGACAATAAATAGATAATCCTTATCTGCTTCGAAAGCTTAATATCGCCTCCAGGATTCTCTAACTTAGGGACTCTGTTTTCCTTCCTTCGCCCTTTTATCACAGCCTTTGTCAGGCCCAGCCTCTCCGTCACTCCGTGTCTTTTAGGAAAAACAAAGAACAACGTGTGTGTGAGCATGACTGCCAGGACCGGGCTGGCAGAGTGTGTGTGTGTGGGTGTTGTGTGAGCGTGACCGCATGGCTGTTCTGAGCACCCTGGCACAGTCCACCATGAGTGCTGTCTCCCCCACCTGCCTTCCAGCCCGGGTCCCAGCCCGCCTGCCCCCATCAGCTGCGCCCTTACCTGTTGGTGTTCTCCAGAGACTCTACCTTCTTCCGAAGCTCCAAGTTCTCGGTTGAACACGACTCCACCCTGTAGCGGAGAGAGAAAGAAGAAAGTCAGTTTTTTTTTTAAAATAGATTTATTTATTTTGTGCATACAGAACTGGGGTACAGGCCAGGGGCTCAGGGGCGGTGAGAGGCTTCACCAGAGAAAGAGCGGGGGACAGAACAGGCAGATCAATGAAGCACACTGCTGAGGGGAGCAGCGGGTGGGTCAGGAGAGATCTGCGCCATGTGGTCACCTCCGGGGCAGGCGGGAATCGAACTCATGCGGAAGAGGCTTTAGATTCTCAGTGCTGTGCTTTAACCCGCTGCGCCACCAGGGAGGGCCCAGAAAGTAAGTTTTATAGTAGAGCAAATGCTAAGGCAGAAAGTAGGGTGGAAGGAGGGAGGGACCAGGGAAAGAGGGGAAACCAGCGATTCTAGCAAGATGAGGGAAAGAGCTTGGGTAGCCTGAGTTGGGAAACAGACAAAATAGAACCGAGTAATGATAGAAAATACAAATGTGGCTGGGGGTGTTCCAGCCTTGCTTTTTCTCGCCCGCAATGCCCAGGCCAGGCTTCGATGCCCGGGGGGCCGAGCGCTGCTGACTGTACTCTGGCCACAGGACTGACAGGAGTCATGGCTTGAGGGGGACACAAATCCTCAATACAAGGAATGGGGTGCTGGTGCATGCTTACCCCAAAAAATAGATTCTTAGCAAACCCTCTCGACCCTGGGTGCTACAGAAAATGACAGCCTCAGTGACCAGCCTCTGATTCAGGAGATGCAAACATTCACTTCCAACAGCAACTTCCAGGCCCAGCCTAGAGCTACTGACCACACCCTTCCCAGGCACACATGAGGACTCCTTTTCGGGCCTGGGACCTCTTCCCGTCCTAAAATGACTTGGGCTGCTGGAGAACTATTTTCCATACAAATCACAATGAACTCCTATCTTTCCAAAAGTTCTCCAGAAGAACCAGGAATGCCTTCAAGTGTGTTCTAGGAAAGTCACTTACCTTAGAGCATGAATGAGAGTGGGCAGAAAATAGGGAAGGGGCCCCCTAATGTCTCTCATTCCTGGTTTGCTCTCCCTAGGGCCCAAGGGAGGATGAATGGGCAGGGCAACCTTCAACCAAAGCAGTGGGTCCCCTCGGGAGAGTTTTGGGAATACGGAGGGTCGTTGCTATTTGTACTTCCTCCATCTGCCTGTTCTGCTCCCCACTCTGTCTCTGGTGAATCCTCTCACCGCCCCTTCACCTCTGGCTTGTACCCCAGTTCTGTATGCACAAATAAATAAATCTTAAAACAAAAACCAAAAAAACTTCCACGCCTTTCCCTGTACCAACCAGTAGGTGGCAGGGAAGACACAGGCAAAACCATGCCGGCTCTAACAGGCCCAAAGAGGGCTTGAATGGCTTCTCAAGAAAAACAGAACGTTCCTACTCAAGTTTCTCCAAGTTCCCTCATAACACAACCAGAGTGGCAGGGCGCTTACTTTTTCTCCAAGCTGTCCATGTATTCCTTCTTCTTTCTCCTACTTTCCTGGGCCGAAATCTGAGACAGAAAGGGGGGTGGGGGAAGAAGGATGATATTACTGCTGTGTCAGTAAACCAGTAAACACAGAAGTGGAGGTGGGGTGGGTGGGGGCTGCCGGCAGACTGTGGGTGCAGCATCACCGAGCCGGGCCTGCTTTGCAGCTACTCCCCATTTATCTCATCTGCCCACTCAGCTACTAATCACTTCTCTCTGCTCCGTTTCCAACCAGCTTCTGTTCTCACCCACTTTCCAGCAAATTCAGTCCCCAGTGGGAAGCTCCGCGAGCCAGGCGTCAGGACAGAACACGTACGTCACACACCATGTGCGCGGTCCTGGGTAACTGAACTCTGGACCTCAGGAAGCTCAGCTATGATGTATGAAAGGAGGCGGCCGGGCCTGTGCTGGCTCTGCTCAGGGCAGAATTCAAGGTCTGTCCTTCCTCTCGCTGTCCCTCCCGCCTGCTCTGCCCGCCCTGACTCGCGTGCTGGGGGCCGCGCTTGCTGGGGAAGATGTTGAGCCCAGGTAGAGAACAGCAGTCTTCAGGGTGTTCTGAACCCCAAATCCCTACAAGAGAAAACCTCAACTTCCCTGCAAGTACATTTATAGCCATTCACAGGTCAATTTACACATGGCTTCTAAAAGAAAGTATCATGTACATCTTGGAACAGAACCTTAGCAGGATTTTAAAAAGTCAATTTAAGTGGGATTCCTTCCCAGCCCTGAGCAGACCATCTTGGGCACCAGGAGGAAGCAGGGACGGGCTGTGCTCCTCCAGCTGCCCAAGGGGAAGGGAAGGGCCGAGGCTCGGGGCCCTCAGGACCCAGCTGGCCACCAGGGCAGGCGGGAGAGGTGAGCTCACTCAGCACCCAGATGCAAAGGGCTCACCTTATTCTTGATTTTCCTCCGGATCTTCTTCAGGGCCTTCTCCTCTGACTTTGTGAGGGGCAGCTTGGTGGGGATGGGATAGCCCTCGGCGATCAGGGTCCTCTTCTCCTCCTCTGTCAGGACCAGGGGGCCCGAGCCCTGCAGTTTCTGGGCAGATCAAGGAGATGGGTCAAAGACTGACGAGGACGAGGGCTGAGGGGCCCGACAGGGCATATCGCAGGTGACTAAGAGGATGCCGGTCTGCTCTGCGTGAGGAAGGGTTACTATGAGGTAGAAGCAGGGCTGGAGAAGATGCATGGAGTTGTAAGACAAAGACTGAAATCATAGCGGTGGAAGGAGGAGAGAAGGCTACCTCTCCCATTACTTGTAGCAAGTTACCCCAGTGGCTAAAACATCAAAGTAAAAGGTCTGAGCCCCTCACCCACACCCCCCAGTGCTTGCGTGACTCTGGAGTCACAGAGGATTAACTGACAGCTGCTTGTGGCCAAGAGCTTTGACTTCTCCTGCAAGTGCAAATTTGCAAGAAGCTCGGACAGAGGGGAAGCCCTTTCTTGTTTCTACTTCCTGCCGAGGGGCCAGGGACACACCTGCCCCTCGTGCACACTGCCGACCAGCACCAGCCCAGCTGGTCCACCTTCAGCGGAACTCAGAGGACATGTTGTCATCATCAAACAACCAGTGTCCCCTGTACATCAGCTCCATGCCAAATGCCACGAGGGATCAAAACAAACTCTCCAAGTAGCTTATGATCAAGACTGAAGCTGAACCGACAGCCATGAGAGGCAGGAGCAAGTAAATGCTGACCCAGATTAACTCCAGGTACATTTCCAGTTGGAGCAAGAATACTGATGTGAGCTCGTGTGCTGAGGGAGGGCTGAACCAGGGGACACGCCTCGAGTCGGGCCTGGTTTCATGCAGAGAGCAGGGCATTCCAAGCAGAAGGTGGTGTTGACAGAAGTAACTGAAGAACCAGCAGCTCTGCCCAGAGCAGGGTAGGAGTTCTGGAAGCAGCAGGCTGGGGACACGAGCGGGGCTTGACTGACACCAGCACATAAGAGGGGAATGCAGACTGTGGCTGAGCAGGGGACAGGTGAGGGACCTCCCCAGGAGCACGAAGCCTGGGTTGACCGTGATAGGGTGGACACTATTTCAGTGACTGAGGAGCAGTCAGGCTGGAGATGACAAGGGAGAGTTTATGCTCCTGGCCTCAGCAACAGTGAAATGTAAGGATGGAGCTACAGATCTAGAACTTTCTGCACAGATTGAATTCAAATTTTCAAAATGATGTTAACTGACGATTTCTAGAAAATTTTAAAAGATCTGATTTCACTGAAATTTGCTCTACCTGATAAATTCAGTGAGGTTGATTAAAAATGTTAGATGTCATAAATCTCCATTATCTCTTCAGAATAAGGAGTTAATTATCAGCCTATATTTTTTATTTAGAAATTGGATAAGTTGTTTCCCTGTGGTCCACCCGAAGGAACACCTAACTCCATGGTAAATATCTGTGATAAAATTTATTCCTTGTATTACACCTGTGTAAAAGAAACATGAATAAAAATGGGAAGTGAGCACAGAAAAAACGAGAGGATTAATTACATGGCAAGAAGCGCAGTTTAAAAAAAATCCCTTTGAGATCGTTGTCTCACGCTGTTTTTGCCAGTAAACACAAAACTTCCTTTCAAGAGTAAAAATCAAGCGGCCTTATCGCGACAAGGAAGGAGCTGGAAGGCGTGATGGCAGAGGAAGTCAGTCAGGAGGCGACAGTGCAACAGCAGCGCCGCCTACCGGCAGACTACGGAGAAACCGGACGTCGGCCAGAGACACCAGACCAGCCACACCCCAGCACCCCGCGGGCCATGCGCGGCCGCGGGACGGGTCAGCGGACAGCAAAGTGGCCGCAGGGCCCGGCGGGCTGTGGGAGGGCACCTTGGAGGTGGGTGGGGTGTAGTAACCTAACCTACAGGGGTGACCCCACACCTCTGAACCCCCTTAAACACACGACGTTGTAAACCAATGTTACCTCAAAAAATAAGTGGGCTCGCGGCACCCACTCTGGTGAGGCGGGGTGAGAGGGGCAAGGGTTCGCTCAGATGGGGAACTCACGTGGGGCGCAGTGAGGAGCGGAGACGTGGAGAGCGCAGAGGGGCCCCGCACCCCTGCGCGGCCCGGGCTGTGGCTCTGGGCCAGGCCGAAGGGGTGCAGCCGCGGGTTGGGGCTCAGGCTGCCTTCAGAGTCGCTGCTGTGGCTGCTGGGTGGGGTGGGCGGTAGATGCAGGTGGTCCACGGCGGCTGAGGGAAAGAAAGGGAGTATTTGGGGGTCTGGGGAGCATAAGGACCAAGCAGCCTGGGCGCCCAGCGGAGAGATCTCCAGGACAGCAGGAAAGGAAACTGCCCAAGTAGCCACCTGTATGGAGCAGGCCCCGAGAAACGATGCAACTGTGACCTAGTCGGGGTGGGATGTTACTAGGGTAGAGAATGCCCCTCCTTGTTGGCTTCAACCGTTTCTGGAGTATGCTTGTACAGTGTAGTTTGTAAGATGCTTAAAATTAAAAAATAGAAAACCCTGCAGTGGGAAGGCAGTTACCCATAACTGCGGGGAGAAAAGCTCATTTGTCTCTGGAGGAATGTGTGGTGAGGCCCACAGGCAAGCTGCCAGGCATCCTTCACTCAGAGAATACTAAATCTAACTGTAGACAGGGGTGCAGGCGCTGGAAGGTAAATGGGGGAGGATGGCTTTCTCCTCCCAAGTCCCTAACACCTCAGAGCCCTGTTGGGGGGCAGGGGGTGACATACCCTCTCCCAGCAAACCCCCACCCCCACCCCCAGCACCACATGGGGCCTCACACATCTGGGCTTGCCAGGACTGAGCTGCGGGAGCCTGGAAAAGTCTTCCTCAGGGCTATTCCTGGCTTCTTCAGACACTGCCCAAGCTTCCACAGACAGGAAGGGTCTTTCTGAGTCACCACCACCGACCTCAGAAAAATGACGCCCGGAACTGCCTTTAGCGGTGACTCCTGAGATGTCTGCATAGCCAATGGCCCTCCAGGACACCCCTTCCTCACAGCTTATAGTTTCTCTTCTCTCTCTCCCTATTCCTGCTGTCTCTAACAGACTGTTTTTCTCTATAGTTTCCTTTTTCTCTGCCATGTCTGACTGAGTCTGTTTTCTGGGTGTCTATGAGCGCTCTTCAGGTTAAGAAGAGTCTGAGACAACCCTCACACCCCTGCAGCTCTCTCCTGCCAACAGCTCCAGCACCTGAGGAGGGCAGGTCTGCACCTTCGAGGTGAGTTTGGCTAGAAAGGAGGAGTCCTGACAGTGTGCCCCAAAGCCATGAACCCCGAAGGGCCAAACATAGCCAAAGGCGAGGCTCGGTGAGCAGGGACCCCACTGAACCCTGGACAATAGCAGGAGCACCGGCCGACCTGCCTGGCACAGGGCACCATCCAAATCACGCTAATCCTGTCCTCCTTTCCAACCTGAGGATGCCCTCGGCTTCCACCCCCAAAGGAAGTGGCAGGACAGGAAAAAGAAGGCAAATTTGATTCTGCTCTTTTGCCCCTAACAGAGGAACAGAAGACAGGGCTGCAGTACCTCAGCATCAGATTTCTAAATATCACTTAAAAGGCCACTCTAAGGTCATGGAAAGTGCTGGAATAACAAGAGACTTTGCCTAGAAGCTCTGAGGTAGTCAAGGCTATCGAATGTCCTGATCTCTTTATCTAGCATAATGAGGGGGAAACTACCATTTACTTTTCTCTTGAAACATTTCCCCTCAGTGATCCCACATTCGGAAGCCATCATGGGGCTCACTGTTAGAATTATGATACTCCCTGATCATATCACAACATACATAAAAGCAAGTGTATTTGAGAGTAACACCTGGTGTCACAAAAATGAAGGGAATAAGCTGAAAGGCACAAACAGCGCTCGCCCAGTGCAAAGAAAGTTCTCGACAAGGACCCAAGGCATTGTTCTTATATTTTAAAACACAATTCATCAGTGACAATAAAGGCAAATGCCCTGATTGAACTGTCAGCCATCTAGTCCTGAGCTCATTTCTGCCACAGTGCAAGTGAACTGAGGTTTCAGAAGAGCGGTTAAACATAACACCCACACTTTACGTACAGTGGTCATCAAACAACATGACTTCAACGTTGTTTCAGTATATGGCTGATGGGATGCCATGGTTAGTGGAACCTGCAGTCCTCCCTGGGCTCTGATACCGTGAGAGTCAGTGGTGTGTCTTGATCATCCCAGCCCAGGGGGTGTGAGTGCAGGTGTGGTGTGGTATGTCTGTGGGTGTGATGTGAGTGGGGGGGTGCAACCCCAGGGGGAAGGGTGTCCGGTCCCGGGGTGCTAGTTGTCTTGTACCCTGAGCTGCTGGGCTGGGCTGTGGCCTTAGGAGACCCTGAGCTGGAATCAGAGAGTGGGAGAAGTGAATGTGTCAATGAATTCAAACGACCGCTTCATATGAGCAGTGACTCGAATCTTTATTAGAACTTTGGTGATGTCTTTCTGAAATGGGCAGAAGGAATTAACTCTTATTTATATGTCATTTAGTTGATGGTTGTTTTGCCTAAAGCTGAAGTTCCCAGAACCTGCTGACTGCATGAACCATGCAGACATGCCTTTTCTACAACAAATGCGTATATTTGCCCTTATTTGTGGACCAAGCTGATACACTTTTTCTAAACTTATACTGAAGGTACAAACAGGAAGGTGAAGGGCAAAGAATTAAGAAGAGGTGGGGGTATCTGGATAAAGAGGCAGAGCGCTCATTCCCATGGGATGTAGGGGCCTGGGTTCAGGAGTCCAAACTGGGGCCCAAGGGAGACTAGGAGGGAGATCTCAGGAGGAAATTAGTGCAGAGGAAGAAACTAGTGAGAGTGTGAGAGCTTCAGGGCTGGCGAGCCTTCGTTTTAAGTGGATGGCGAGAGTGAACACTGCAGGTAGGCAGGAGACCCCTCACAGCCCCGGTCACCCAAACACACCTTTACAAACAGGTATTGCTCACCTTGTGAATTCACTTTACAAGGGTTCAAACTGGGGCTGTTTCATGGGCCAACTGCTGGGGCCAAGTGGGTGTCTGCTTGCCACCATCACGCCAGTGAGGGACACCAGGGTGCCATGAGGGGAGCAGGCCTTATCTTCACTGGAGCCTAAATTGGAGCAGTAACCCCATATCCACTCCTGCACCCCCCCTTCTCGCAAACCTCTTCCTGCCATGTGGCCATCCAGAGCATGCAGGGAGGGCAGACAGACCTTCTTTAGGGGAGAAGTTGAGGAACTGATCCACTTCATGAGGTTCCAGCTTAATCTTCGGAATAATGGTCTGGCATGAGGAGTCAACCTAAAGGAAGAATTTCAAACACAGACTTTCAAAACTAGTGACAGGGGGCTCTCCCTGGTGGCGCAATGGGTTAAAGCACAGCACAAAGAAGCTTAAGCCACTTCTGCATGAGTCCGATCCCCGCCTGCCCCAGAGGAGATCCACATGGCGCCCTCCCTGGTGGCGCAGTGGGTTAAAGCACAGCA